GTTGATATCTCACCTCGTCAAAATCACGGAAACACATTGTTTTAGGTGTGATAGCCATTTTGTAACTGTAGGTCTGTAGGTTCACTGGGCGAACGATTATTGTTTTATTAGTTTTTAAAGTAAACTGTAAAAGTATACTTATGTTCGTTCAGTGGTGTATCCAGGGGGGGCAACTGCCCGCCCCCCCCCCCAGAGCAGCAACCTTTTATTTCTTAAAAATATCTCAAAAAATAATATTTTCTACTCGCATGCGCAAAGTAATTACTTTGCACACTCATTTGCGTGCGCAAAGTTGCGTTTCTGGATAAACTAATATTCAAAAAGAAGGGCTTGATGTTATTTTTGTTCCAAGAAAGGTTTTCAGGTAATGTTTAGCATTTTTAATTTGACATTTTTCGTATGAGGAGCGAGGGGAGGAAAAATCCAGCAAAAACAGTAGGTGTGAGGTCAGGTGACCATTGGCGTGGGCAGCCACCAACTCACATTCCTCCTGACAAGTCCTGACTTATTTGTTTTTTAAATTGTTGTTTGTCAAATTAGGAAAGGTTAGGATTACATTTTATAGATACATTTTTGGAATTTTCATATGTATAATGGATAGGTAGTGATTTTTTTTACACTATTTCACTATTTTTTATTGCATTTTTGACGTGTGTAAGTTCTGATTATAATAACATTCCTTTGGAGTATCAGATCATTAAAGTTGGATAGTAAGTTATACTCCTCTAACTCCTCCATATACTTCCCAACTCAATGGTGTCGCGGAAAGAATGAATCAGACACCAATGGATAAAGCAAGATCTATGATAATGCAAGCAAAAATGGACACGATATTTTGGGAAGATCCTGTACTTGCTATTAGTTGGGAATCTGACGCCTCCTAGGAAGCCTTTTAAAGATGCTCTATACAAGTCGCGAACATCCACCTAAAAAACATGAAATCCTATGTAAAATGACCTGCCGGATTCGAATTTCTTGTTCGCTCTTTGATCCGGAATTGCGAAATGTGTCAAAACATGACATTTTTGAAAAAACTGAAAATTTTCATTGAAATAATTTTTTTTGAAAACTAGTGCATAACTTTGTTAATTGATGTCCGATTGTTATGAATTTTGGATATGATATTTTTCAGTACTTCCCTGACATAGTTTCATAACAATAAAAAACATAGAACGTCACATAATAGCTACGTAATTTTTTTTTCGCCAGATGACACAAAATATCGTCATTTTGCAGCGTTAAATGGTGAGTCGAGAAAACTTTTTTATCTTTAGAGATAGATACCTAGTATAAGCGAGAAAAATGTTGCCAATAGAGTAAAGAAACTTTTTTACTAAAACTTTTTTTCCATACGACGTTTAGTTTGAGGTGTATTCTTTTTTAAAAACCGAAGAAAATTGAATCGCCGCGTCCCAACTCTCGGCATTGCCGGTGAGCGCGGTCTCAGGACGCGGTGCAGCGGCTAAAGCGATCAGTGTGTCAAAGAGAGTTAACACCACAGCCTTCTTCACATGTGCAAGAAAGATAACGCGACGACACCGACGGCAGAAGCGTTCCTTTTGAATTTCATTTTGTTTTTCTCCCGCTTATGTTTGTTATTGTAAAAGACATGAAGTACCTACCCACAAATTAACTCGTCCTAATCTGTTAATCTGTGTACCTACCTATCATAAGTCAAAATATCAATTTCAACGAATGTATTTTGTGTCAATCAAGTAATTAGGAAACGGTACAGAGTGTCACAAAAGAAGCCGTATCTACATTTCCTGTTTCAAGCATGTACCGGGACTACCGGGTGTCCCACTAAGGTCGGCCAGGTACGATATTATGGAGACCATAGACCTTAAGTAACTTGAAAACGAATGCAGATATTGGATTGCGGTTTGCGCCAAAATGTAGATATTTTTTTGCTCTTTAAGCACAGCAATACAAAAATAATATTATGCCATTTGGATTTTTCATGAAAATTAGAAAAAACTGGATCTTGAATAAACAGCGCCCTCTAGAAGACGCGGTGGGAACTATCGACCTCGAACTAAGTGGTGTTTTTAATAACAATGAAATTCTCTTCCAAATAAACCCAAATTGAATGAGGGGTATGGAAGATACACCAATTTCTAAAAAAAAAAATTCACCAGCTTCCCCCACCCTTATTACTGAAGATACGAAAAAAAGCCTAATAACCAAACTGGCGCAAAAATTAATGAACTTTTGATTTCTGTTGTTAAAACAGTATCTTAATATAGCGATTTCTTAAGAAAAGTTGAATTTTTAGCTATATCATCGTAATTACTCCCCCTAGCGGTCATCCTAGAAACTTGCAAATAATTTCCATCAATTTCTCTTGTCCGATTTAGTCAAGAAAAAAAAAATCCCGAAGCCGTAAGGTCTATGGTTTCCATAATATCGTACCTGGCCGACCTTAGTGGGACACCTGGTATTGTCATTGAGAAAGGCGATCGTTATTCCATAGCTCTTACGGCCAATTTCATGATCAACTTAGAGTAAACTTTCCATTTGAAGTTGAAAAATCCTATCCTAAAAGTCTATTTAGCTAAAGTAACTTTTAAGCAATTCTGTATTATGAAATTAGCCGTTAGATACTATGCTGACAAAAGAGAACTGTTTTTATCATCAAATCCTGTTTATCACCATAAATTCTAAATGTAGACGAGCTTATACCAGGAAAGCCTACAAGAAAAGACCTGAACCAGAAGAAGGTGCTTCAAAATGTACTAGTAAGCTAATTAAATCCTCTTATTCAAAGATTTGCATAATATGCAATAAAATTCGCGATAGTAGGGGTTTGAGAAGACTCACGCAAATACTGACATTTGATGAGCAAAATGAAATATGGAACATGGCAAAAACAACCATCAACTTTTGCATTGAATTCAAGGATTTGGTAATAATTGTATTTACATGATTGCTCACGAATGTGCATATCAATCGTATCATAGTCTGTGTTTTTTGAAACTATTCCAAAAATCAAAATCAGAAGTAAATTCCCTACAAGAATCTGAAGTACTCTCGCTTGGAACTATTTTTATTAAAATTCAATCTTATATAGAAAATGCCCTATTTATAGAAAATAGGGTCTTCACAATAGAAATCATCCTACATAGGGAAGCAAGGAAGCAAAGTTATGGAACGTTGAGTGAACTGCACAATATCCATCATCAGGAGAGATTATCAATAACCTACAAAGTCTTTTTGAGAGAACAATTATGGTTGTTCCCCGAGATGGAAAACTTTCAAGTTATCTTTGCTCTACTAAAATAATTATTATCAATAAATAAGACGCGGTAAGGAATTCAAGTTCTTCAAATTCTAACGCTGACGCCACATTTTTCAATGAAGGCCATTCTCCTCATAAACTACAATCAAATGTTTAATATTTGAGGGCGGATTATTGCAAATTGTGTGCAGCAAGACACTTTGACAATTACTGAAGAATGTGCCTCCTAATATCATACCAAAGTCATTATACAACCTTTTTCGTGGATACTTACTGAGAAACTAGTGAAAAAGAAGTAAGTTTTGACAAAGATTGAAAAGTTTTGTTGGAAGAGAAGCTTGAAGAAAAGGTTTTGGATATTTGTCAAGATTTTTTATTTGTATTTATTGGAATGAAAACACCAAAACATGTGAAATGAGCCGTTTACCACAAAATTTTGAATTGAGCCTGATGCTTTTTTTTTTAAAAGAAATCTTGTTGCTATTATTTTTTTACTGACATTAATTGGATTCCCTAGAAATAGATTCCAAATTATTTCAATGAAAATTTTCAGTTTTTTCAAAAATGTCATGTTTTGACACATTTCGCAATTCCGGATCAAAGGGCGAACAAGAAATTCGAATCCGGCAGGTGTGTATGTAAAATACATAGGATTTCATGTTTTTTAGGTGGATGTTCGCGACTTGTATAGAGGTGGTCGAATTCAGCACCTCAGATTCCCGACTATATGTAAAACTAATTCAGAAAGTCACATGCAAAAATAATCATCTTGGTATAATAAGTTTAGTCTCATTTGGCAGGAAAAACAAATTCTAAGTAAACCTCGCTAGCACAACCACTGTTGCAAATAAAGTCAAGGTGATCACAACAAACACATTTAACTAAGAGCGAAAATTACAAGTTTTGAGCATCTGGACACATTTAAGAAGATTAGGTACCTACAGCTCTTTGGATGCTATGCAAATCTTCAAATACTCGTAGAAAAAGTATTGTTTTTAACACTTGCGCAAAGTGTCTTTCCCGCACTCAAAGCTTATTTTTGCGCACTTGCGAATATGCCATCAAGATGTGTGTGTGTGTGTGTGTGATTTTAACGACTTTTGGGCATGGCACAGCGGGTGTGCCCCCTTCCCCCCCACCCCAGAGCCTCAAGCTGGATACGCCACTGTGTTCGTTATTGTTATTAACCATAACATCAGCCGAAATTGCCGTTAGGTATCTTTGTGGGATTAAATGGATCGTTTTGCAAATTATTCAATATTTTATTCTTGCATATAGCTGTCTGGCATAACGTCAATTTATTGAAGACTTTATCGAAGCCCATCATCTACGCCCAGCCGCGTATAATATAATGTCTTTCGGATGCAATTTTAACTTATCCTCTGACATAAAGTTGCGAGTTGTGATTGCTTTTAATAAGATTAGTTACGCGCTATCTTTTATTGCATATTTATCGGTAATTGCAAATCTTTGCGCGCGGCATTTCCATTGCATTCCACACGCTGATTTATTCAAAAAGAGAGTATAAAGATATCGAGAGGAAGCTTTTAAATTAGACACGATAAGTATCAAGAGATATCTACTTACCAGATGGAATGTCAAGAAGATTTAATTTCTGGTTAATAAACAAAAACTGTTTCCTTGATAGCAAGAGAATGAATTTGCATACAAAAAATCTATCGGGTTCACACAAAACTATTTATATTTTAATGTCAGTGCACCTTGGTTCTGAAGATACGGAGCAGTGGTTAATTAAAATAATTCGAGTTTGTTTTTGCAGGACCTTTTGGAACAAATATTCAAGCTATTTGACCAGGAGAGGGCCCAGTGTCTACAGCAGGAGAATTGGATTGAATTCCTGAAACAGCGGCTCACGTAAGTTATTACTTTGATTGTATTTGTAGAGGTTTTTTTTTCCAAATTGGAATAGGCAATTTTGATATTTTTAGTGTTTCATTATATTTTCAAAATATACTTCCTCAAATTCATTAAAATCAAATTTCGACGAAAAAATGTAACAATAAAATAGGTAACTTTATTTTCGAAGTTTTTTTTTTGGATTTTTCTCAAAAAATAAAATAGATATGAAAGGTTTGAGAAAAATGCTCTTATATTACATAACTTTCAAAAAAAATACTTATGCATTTCTCTATTGGGTGTTTTTATCGAGTTTTCTTAGGTTAGTTTGGTGGACTAGTTTTACATTAATAAATTCCATTTTTGTGTGTGTTGTTTTGAGTTAAATTAATTCTTTCTTTCTATTTTGTATGTTGTTTGATCATATATTCTTTGATTCTGCATTCAAATCCCAGTTTCTGATTAACCACAGGGCGTCTGTGATTCGCTTCAACAATTTATTTTTGTGTTTGCAGTTTTTTAAGAACCCTTAATTATTATTTTCTTTTTTTTTTTTAGTCTTGTGAAGGAGTAGTTTGCCTTTAGGCTACTTTTGCGTGTAGTAGGGGTTAGGGTAAGAGGTGTGAGTGTGAAGTGTGGTTGCAGATTTTGATTTTTTTTTGGTGTTATGAGTTATGATTAAAATTGAATCTCTTATCTAGGTATAGGTATGCCTATATTTTACTGTTTTTTTGCCATTCCAGTGTCGACTAATTAATGAGAGGTGCTCTTGGTTTGACATTGAATTTTTTTTTTTTCGAAATGGCTTCACAGAAACTGAACTCAAACTGACTATTTATAGTCGTCATTATACTCCGGATCTATCTAGAAAAATGTGTTTATCGAATATAATAGAATTCCCAGAAAAGACGCACTCTAGATACAACTAAATTCGTAGATTCAGGTCGGGCTCTCGACGCAATTTCATAACAATAGTGATTGGGAATTATTCGGGGTCCAATTCAAAGCCCTGCCATTTTTGAGGCGGCTTTGAATTGAGTACCTACGTGCGGTTTTTATTTATGCGAAGCAGATATTTATAGTATTTTTAATACCGATTTATAATAACCCCATCCTTATTTATCAATCACGAATCAGATGAAACAAAAAATTACCAAAAAAAACGAACGTCGATTGCTAATACGTCAATTTCATGTACAAATAGGAAATTCCTTAAAGTATAACCATTATCAATTGAAAATCGCATCTCTATGGTGACTACTCAAAATTAGAAAAATACCCCTTATAATAATATAATAGCTATTTATACAATAAGTTACGAAATGAGCGTCTTTTAGGCACGCGACGTGAAAATTGTCCAACGAGGCAAAGCCGAGTTGGACAACACGTCGAGTGACTAAAAGACATCGTTTCGTAACGTATTGTATACAAGATTTTTTCTACTGGCATTTTATAATAAAAAAACACAATTTTATTTCATGTGAATAAGTCGATTACACCCAAAATCTTTGTTACCTGCTTTTACTTGACACCTGACACTTTTCATGCGATTTTCTTTTCAAAATTCGACATCAATAATTAAAATCCTAGAAAGTAGGTAATAACACAAACTTCTGTTTTGAGTAACCCAAACGTTCAATTCAGTAATTCCATTTTCAATATTCATAATAAATACAAAACAAAATTCAAATATGTGTTTAGTGTGTTTTTTATTTCTGAATAATGAATGACACTTTTAGGCACTAGTGCTTAAAAATTACTTTTACGCACTCATAAGTCACTTTTACGCATTCAAAAGTCACTTTTACGCACTGAGTGCCTAAAAGTAACTTTCACGCACTCAGTGCCTAAAAAAATGTCGTTTCAAAACTGAAATGACAATCGAAAAGTTGCTATTATGAAACGTCAGTAGAAAAAATAATTTTTTCTACAACTGTCAAAAAATGATGATGTTCGCACACTCATGACAGTTTGCGAAGTGACACTTTTTTTCCCAGGTATTGATTTTTTAACGTTCCCATGACGCCGTGCGCGAACTAGCTATTTCGCGCACGTATGCGCGAAATAACTAGTTCGCACACTGGGTGTCATGGTGACACATACCTGTCATACAACCCTTGATACAAAAATAACTATTCTATATATTTTTATGCCTAGTCCTGGTACACTATAACAAAGACACCGCACGCCGGCAAAAAAACTTGAAAATTGTTGGCGATGCCGCTGGGCTTTGTCGCTTGCCGACAAAGCTAAGCCGCTCTTGTTGACAGTGTGAGATATTCTCTTTAGAAGTGGACAAAAGTATGAAATTACACAGATAATTGAATAAAAATCAATTTCAAATTTGAATTTTTAATAAAGGAATAATAGTCCCATTCAAATATTTATATTTGATTTATTTCAATCGTTTAAAACGGAATTTTAAGGATTACCTACTATATGAATTTTGCCCATTTATTTAACGTATTAACTCCACTGTATTCTAGAGGTAAATCAGCTAGAATTTCGGGGCAATGGCGTTCGTCATTTCAGTTTCTATAGAAATATCTGGAGTATGTTTATTCTTTATTAATCAATTTGTTTTCATTTGTCATGATAATAATATTTAGACGCCTATGGATTCCCACGTGACTTCAAAGAGATCAACTGAGCTGCCTTTTCTATGAAATTTCAATTAATAATGGTTAAACTATACCTAATTTTATTAGTATGTTCAAGAAGCGACATACGTTATGTCACTAGAACGACTGGTACTTCTAATTAGGTATTAAAACTTCTATAATTATGTAAAGAAATATTGATATATTTTTTTATAGGTGTTTTTGGAGATGCCTGCTTGATATAAAGGGTTTTCCTAAATATCATATACAAACGGAAGGGGGTGATTCTTTGGCTTATTTTATGGCTAAAATTTCTAATCAACATAGGTCCGCAAAAGCTTCGTTATCGATCTACAGGGTGTTTAAATTTCAATGCATATTTTTTTAGTTTTTTCTTTATAGCACCTGCAATTTTGAGGGTGTTCGTTTGATGTTGAATTTCGATTTATCTTCGATAATAAGAGCTGCGGGACTGTAAACGCGTTGATTCATCTAAATTTTTGCCGAAAAATAAATGATATTTGCACCCGAGCCATACAAGAACAAAATGGAGGCACTTACTTGTGTTCTTCCAACGAAGTTTTTTTTTCCTGCAGGTGCACCTGATGGTCTACCAATTCTTCGACAAACACAATCACATAAAATAGGTTTAAAATATCTTGTAAAACTATGAGGTTGATTTTCTAACGGATTTTGAATTGAATTTCAAAGGATCGGTTTTGAGGGTTCTGAAAACTCAACTGACAAGTTCGGATTTCTCTCTTATTCTGGTTGGTGCGTGCGCTGATTTCTGGGAAGCCCATCGAATCTTCTTGTGCCATATAGAACTTGAAATTGTATGGCGCCAAAACTTCACATCAAGTATACGAATAAAATTAGTTTGGAAATTCAGCTATGCGCGAACAGAGGGATTCAGCTCAAATTTGGTGGAATATATAGGTTATGCAATAGGAGCTAAATGATTGCACATGTCAAACGTTTGCTAGAATCTATAGGTTGATGTTTTTTCAGGGGTCGTGCCCCCTTTTCTGCCCCTGAACATTTTTGCGGTGCATCGCTGGTAGATTCTAAAAAACAAAACAATTTTTCTACCTTATTTAGAAACTTTTTGTTCTCTTGTAGTTTTTTCGCATCAGCGACCCTTATCATTTATCGAGAAAAAATTAAAAAACAAATCTCTGTAATTTGCTAGATGAAACTACAGTCTCAATAAACCTTTTCTACCTACAGTGGCGACCATAAAGGTTCCGCCGCCATATTTTTGCCACTTTAGAGTGGTAACGAAGCTTTTGAAATAAACCAAAGATTCATTCCCTTCCGTTTGTAGTGTTTGTACATGATATTCAGGAACACCCTGTATATTGAAGAGAATGGGAGAAAGTAGGGAGACTCTTGCTAGGCTAGTCAAAATAGGCGAATGGGGTAGAAAAAATGAGTACCTACCAAAGTGATCTCTGCGGAAATGAGTAGTCAATAGGGTCCTAATTAATCCCTCAAAAATCGCACTTTGTCGCATGGGTGGAACTTGGAAGAAAATGTCCTCCATTTTGATTTTTTTTGAATTTATTGAATATTTCGTAATGTATGCATTATATCAAAAAAACTCAAGAGAACTTTTTGTGGAGAATCAAAGGTTACCTATATTGAAAGAAATTTCAAGACCATTAGCTGAAAAACGGAAAAATAAATGACATTTATTTCATTTGGCAACATGGAATTTTTCAAAACATCTGAAAAAAACTCAAATAAGTATTTTTTTTGTACAGAATGAAAAACTACATTTAATTGAAGAAAAATTCAATAAATTTAAAAATCTAAATATTTTTGTTGAGAGGGAGCAAAAACACATATGACAAGAAAAACATTTGGGCAGAAAACTACCCAGACTCGGACAACACACAAAGTCTTAAAGACTTTTTTTTTCATTTCAAGGACAACTGAGCCACACTATTTCGTACAACCAGGCCTAAAGGTGAATAATGGTTCATGTATTCAAAAGAGATTCAAAGACTTCTTTTAGAAATTTCGTTGAAGACGTCTTTAGAATACGTTAGTTCTAAAGGCGTCTTTATAGGCAGACGTCTGAAAGGCGTTAGGTTTTGTAACATACGACGTCCTCAAGATGTCTTCAAGACACCTCAAAGATGTAAGCAAGAAATCTTGGATGTCGTTTGGTGGACATCGTAGGAACGTCTTTAAGATGTCTACGAAAATTTCCCGCAGAATTCGTTTTTCATTCAATTTTAGAAGTTATTTCAAACCATTTAGAATGCTACAGAACATTTTAGAACTTTAATAATAAGCGTTTTCGAAAGTTCAAAACACTTAAAATTCAATTCATAATTTCCAAAAGCTTTCTGTAGCGCTTCAAAACATTTTGGAAACTTCAGAATCATTATTAGAATAGAGCATTTTGGA